ACACAAACTACCAGGAACTTTAACAGCTTCTATTTGGCTTGCGTATGGATGACTTTCGTGTGCAGTGATTTTGCAATTTATGCATGTGTTATTTTTTATGCTACTTGCACGACGGAAAACAAATTAGCCTTGCAACTGAAATGATTAAACAGTTAATGACCAGCAGTACTTTTTGGATATAGTAAAAGACATATGTTGTATCTCTTATGGTCTTATGTCCTAAATAACAATACAAATATTTTGAGCGTTTGCACAACGCACATAGTAATGGAAGGTATTATTTATTTGACTCACACTTTGTAACCTTCCCATAGGCCATTTGCTGCGCAGACATGATTGCCTTTGTCAGATGAAACCTACTTCAAGGCAAATGTGGTGCAGGGAGGATTTTATATATGGTTTGATGCTTTGAAAATGTTTGATATATATATCGGTTATTGAAAAATGTATACGCAAAAAACATCCCAGCTACTTGCTGGGCATGCTTTGCTCTGTTGTCTTAGGACATCAGCTAGCTCTTGGCTGTTCGTAACATATATCTGTCTGCACAGACAGCAATTATATTGGTACAAAACCCTTTATTAAGGCACGTTCGAATGTGATACATGCCCTTGCTTGCTCCTGTATATGCCATCAACCACAAGTGGACATAAGGACGTTGACGTAATGCAGTAGATGGCTTTCACTTTCACAAGTCTGTTGAGAGTCCTCAATGATCGCGTGCCTAATGTCCTTATGAAAACGCACTACATTGAAAACTGCGGAAGGTTGACGGGTCGATTAAGGCGGATTACACTCGAGAATCAGCCTTCTAGGAAGAAGTATCCACAAAGCCCTCGAACAATCAAAATTATTTTAAAGGTTTCCCGAAAAGGAATTATTATTTAAACAATGGTGTTGAGTACTGACATGTCTAGCATGCAGACGTAGGCATTTGAGATGATTACGAACACATTATTCAGGCCTACCCTATCAGTTCAGTCTGACCAGAAAAAATATTTCGCAGTTTCATGACCTCAGTTTCTCTGCAGTCCTCTACTTCGTTGACGACCATGGTTACATGGTGTACACGGAAATGCATGCAGCACACAGCCTATATTTTTGTGCGACACGCAATCTGGCCAACGCGCAATGTAGCGAATTTCTGCAGAAAAAGTTGCGGCTCGAATCAAACCCGAAGTGCATGAGAGATTCAGTTCATGACCCATCTCTTAAAACCTAGTAACACAATCTCGTGTGAGAATTTTCGGACGCAATAAACGCTGCCAATTTCGCTTGCACGAACTGTCTCTTCAAGGAAATGTACTGTTCCTGTGCAGAAAGGTATTCACACAATTTCATGAAGCAGAATGTTCAAAAGTGTGAAAGAACATAGACGTTGCGATATATTCGGGCAATTTGTCATGCTAGTACTTGTCACAGACTTCGGTTGCGCATTCGAGCGTGCTTTTCTTTGACAGAAGAATAATCTTACTTTTTGGATTTAGTAGACAGAGCATGTGGTATTTAAAACTGATGTTTTGTCTAACGCTAACCGAAAATGTCAACTTGTTCACACACAGATGATTTTAAAATAACCAGGCATTATACCGATCTTTAGAATTAAGATCAGCAGCTCTGGTCAATTTGGTACCCCAAGGTGGAGTAATAACATTAAGCGAGAATCCTTCAATTCAATAGGCCAAAACACTTTTTTATTATTAAGTTTCATGATTTTCAACAAATTTACAACTATCAAAGACTTTTTTAATTTTGGACGCATGCGATTTGCTGGTTGCGTGGCCTAGCTTCTGTGCCTGAGTACCTTAGAAATAGAATACGCAAAGTTTTAGCGGTTTCAGGAAAATAACATTATTTATATGGCCATTTTGTCGTGCATTTTTAATCATACAAAGTAGCCTAAAAGTAGGCATATGGATACGATAAAAACGAGAAGGCATGTACTTGCAGTTTCGATAAAAATATATCAATATTTCTTTTCAACGTGAAGGAAACGGTCAAAATTAGTTATTTTTTCCTGGCTTAGTAAAGCAGAAAGAGCAGTATAGGTGCACTTGTTAGAAAGATAACTTAGTTGACAATGTGTTTAAGTCAATCAAATGCACATTTTTTGTTGAAATTTTTGGGGACGTTTACTTTGTTTTTTAGTGAGATTTCCTGTTTAGTTGAGTCTTCAAATGTTAACTCAGAACCATTTTGTCATGAAAATGCGCTTTGGAGTACTCGCCACTTCGGATAATACAATCAGGAAATATCGTATTTGAAATTTTTCGACAAACGCGTGATATAAACTTCGTCTATACGGGCAACAAATTAGAAACTATAAAAAATGCGAATTTTCCGGCAGTATTTGAAGGATGATCTAGAAATCGGCGTAATCCAAAACGAACGAAAAGTGCAAAGTAGTTTTACGAAAGAAAAGTTTTCATTATATAAAAGAGTGATATGTTGATAATTAAATTTATCGAACAAATTTTAATATATTAATAACTGAACCGCCACCCAGCATGTGACCCTTTGAAAACTTGTGTTCATTAGACGCGTCTGTTGGAAAAATCAAGCAAAATCCTGTTTATCTTTTTGAACCGCATCTCTGGTATTTGAATGCGAGAGGAATAGCACGAAACCTCGGGAAAAAGTTTTAGAATTTATATTCCTTAAAGTTTCTTATATTACAGAATAATATGCTTTGTTTGCAATAAGTACGCAAATAACACAAGTATTAGATAAAAGTCGATATTCGAAAAGGGGAGTTTTGAAATACTAACAAATGATGAGGATCTTATAACCACTTTAAAGGAATAAACTCATGGATGCGAACGTTCTTCGTCCAGTTGTATTTACAAGTGAGGTCTTAGGATGGTTGAGCACCGGAAGAGGCTGGTTATTGTTCTGAGCCGCAGAGCTCGTGCACGGGTATATTGTTATAGGTCAATGACTGTTTAGTACGTTCTATAACTGTCTCTTGTTCTGTTGTTGCTAATTCCTCCGACGATAAACTCCTGCATGAATTCAAAGGCTCAAAAAATGAACGGATTCTTTCGTTTATCGATAACTCTTCCTCTTCACATATGGCAAAACCAGTATTTCTGGAAGAAGGAAATTCGTGTACATCGTTATCTGCCTAAACAGAGGCCACATTGTATTCAGAACTTTTCGGGATATATGCATCAGGTTGTGCGGTTTTGAAAAGGAAATCTCTCAGTGTGGACAACAACGGAGCAAACCAATCAGCAAAGTGATAATGGAAAGCATTATCGCTTAGTAAATTGCAACAGTGAGTGAATAGTTCCCCTTAGGAGTTAAGTGCGGAAAAATACCATTTTCAGCAAAGCGTATATGCTATGTATCTATTTTACAAAATATGCTCTAGCGCATATATTCCTAATACATACATATACATGAGAAAAAAAGGCGATCTCGGGAACCATTGTTTTACCGTCCTGACGTTTCAAAAGCATAAAAGCTTCCATCGTCGGAGGTGAGTGTGGTATCGCGCCTCACAGTATTTATAGGTGGGTGAAAGTCATGTCAAAACGGGTTTTCTTACATATGAAGTAAGGGCGGCAGGGTGGAAGGGGCGGGGGGGGTCCTAGAGCGTCTTTTCGCCGGATGAGGGGGTGGTGGATCAGCTTTAGTGGTCATCAGCCGCATGCACACATGAACTGTGGCAGGCGGCGGGGGAGGGAGGGAGGGAGGGTGACGGAATGTACTCAATCTACAGCAGAGGCCGGCGTTGAGACATTGGTGGTCGTCGTTCGTACCCTCATTGAGCGTAGCTGTCGTCCAAACCTGGCAATCTTGTTTACGCCGCAACGACTGTCCGTTTTCTCGTCCGCCGGACTAGTAGATGGACCGGCTGTGGTGAGGACTGCGCCTTCGTCGGAACCCGGTTGAGGGGTGGCTGAGTGTGTATCCGCCATGGACTCGCTCATGTCTGGATAATTGTTTAGCCTGGGTGCACGTCTGCTCATTTGTTTACTGAGCTGCGCTCGAAGGGCTTGATAGGCAGCAGGAAGAGCTACACAGCGGTTGATGGAGGTTGTCCCCGTGTGCCAAGCCTCGATTGTTTCCCTGGCTATGCGATCGTTTCCCCGGCCCAGAATTTCGGCATGCTGAAAGGCGAACGTGTGTCCGGCATCGGCGCAGTGTTCGGCCACCAGAGACAAAGGGTCCATTCGCCTTACTGCCCTCATGTGTTCTCCAACACGATTCTGTAGCCGTTTGCCGGTCTCCCCAATGTAGTTGACTTCGCAGGAGTTACACCGGATCCGGTAGATGGCGTTCGTGGTTTCACCTACTGGCAGAGGGGCCTTAGGTCTCATGGCCAGATGTCGAATTGTTGACTCCGGTCGGTGGGCGATGCCGATCCCCAGCGGTCTTAAGAGACGCGAGACGGCCTCAGAAACGCCGTCGATGTATGGAAGCGCCCGCCATATTGTTGGTTGTTCTGTCACCAAACGTCGGCTCGGTCCGGCCTGTCTGCCGCGTTCGATGAAGTTGCGAGGATACCCGTTGGCCATGAAGAGGTGCTGGAGGTAGCGTAGTTCTGACCTTCTGTCGTCCGAATCGCTGCAGTGTGTTTCTGCCCTTCTGTAGAGTGTTCGCACATAACTGCGTTTGTGGCCTAACGGGTGCTTACTGTGGAAGCTCAGGATTTGACGCGTATTAGTGGCCTTCCTATATACCGTCGTTATAAGGTGCCCATTGGGTTTTCGATGGACGAGAACGTCCAGGAACGGGAGTTGATTGTTGGCTTCCGCCTCCATTGTGAACTGGATGTCAGGGAAAACGGAGTTCAGGACATCATGGAATTCCTTGACCATTTGCCGCTTAATGATAACGAAGGTATCATCGACATATCGAGCCCAAACTTTCTGCTTATAGGTTGAGAAAACGAGGGTCTCTACTTTTTGGAGGACTGCCTCTGCGATGAAGCCCGAGAGCGGCGATCCCATTGGCGTCCCCTTGACCTGCTCGTAGGTCGTGCCTTCAAAGGTTTAGTACGTCTTCAGGCAGAATCTCAGCAATTGGACGAGATGTCTCCTTTTTACCGTCACGTTCTTTTCGTCGTACTGACTCTCAAACAGCTCGCTGACCGTTTCGATTGCCAGGTCTTGCGGGATCGAGGTGAAAAGAGAGGTGACGTCGAATGACACCATGACCTCGTCTTCGGTAAGTCTCATCCCTTTGATCCGCTCCAGGTACTGAGTCACTGAACAGACCGTCGTGCCCGCGTCCGAGGTGAGAGACCTCAGGTTTCGGAACAGCCATTTGGCCAAATTGAATATAGGTGTGCCGAGCAATGATACGATTGGCCGGAGGGGGACCCCGGTTTTATGTACCTTTGGTAGTCCGTAGAACCTTGGTGCGGCCGCGTGTACTGGCTTAATGGCCAGTCGTACCGATTTACTTATTGCCTTGCTCGTTTGCATGTCGGCGAGTGTCTTGTCCAGTTGCGTCACCAGCCTCCTCATCGGTTCATCGTTACATGGTAGGTAAGCCTGTCGGTCCTCCAGTAGGGCATTGGCCTTCTGAATGTAGTCTGCCTTATCCATCACAACTGTGGAAGGCCCTTTGTCTGCTGGTAGAATCACGATGCTGGTGTCAGCCCTCAGTGTCTTGAGAGCGCTCTGCTCGCTCTTGGTAATAGTTGCACGCGGTTTGTGTGACATCGCCAAGGAGGCTACCTGCTGTCGAATGAGATGCTTTGTTTCGTCGGATTCCCCGGTTTGTTTGAGAATCGACTCTACCGTGGCCACGAGATTGACTGGATCGGCGTCTGTGGTGTTGAAGCAAGCCTTATGACTCAGCACTTTCATTTGTGCAGGAGTCAGCTGCTTAGAGGACATATTGTGCACCAGGACTTCGTTCTCCTCTTGAGATGATTTGCTTATGCTTTGGAGCTTGACCGCCAGCTCGGAATCTCTCGTTGCTCGCAGGTTCCGGGCACGTTTATTAAGCACTCCACCGGCGCCAAATTTTTAAGTTTTAATTGGCCGAAATCCTCGCTAGACGTGACAACCGTGTAAGCCCTGAGATGCTCAAATCATGGTTCTCAGGCCCGCAATCCATTAACAAGCGCAATGGACTCCGGTTACCATATTTAGCGCTGAAAAATTCCTGAGCAGGGGAATCAGTCAGATGGGGAGGGCGCGGACAATCAACTACCCCTGTGACAGCGGGAAAAAGTAACTGCCAAGCAGACAGTCAGCATGGGAGATGAAATTGCGGCAATTAATGACTCCGAGGCGGACTGACGAGCCATCGTTGCCTTAATTACGACGCCAAGCAGAGATCACGAGAGCTGTTAATTATAGTAAGCATGTGGCCCCACGGCAGCTAATTTCTATAAATTCTACATTCCTAATTCCTCTACCAATTTCGCCTGCAACCGTTTCTGATGATGGATTCGAATGAGAATTTAAAATGTCAGGTCAATAAACTTATTGCTTCAGTAATTGCATCTTCTTTCAAAAAATTGAGTACTGTCAATATCTGGGCAGCGGGCCGAACCATAAATCAGGGTGAAAAGGAAACATTGTCGTTATGCGAATTGTGGTAGTGAGTGACCAGATGCCCTTATGAATCAATTGTAGAATAATACCATTTTAACCAACGCGTATATGCTATGCATTAACTGCATAAAAGGTGATTTATAACATATATCTTTCATAAAAGAATCCACAGCATCCATATTACCTTTAGTGAGGGGTGCGTTTTAAGTGTAATTTAAGATATTTAGGCTGACTGCACTTAGTGAATGTCGGACATTGATAAAAAACTACTTTTAAGTAGCTGATCTAAAGGCGTTTTTTAGTTATCCGCTACGTACTTAAACGTGTATATCTTCAGGGCATTATACCCGGCCACCCCATTTTCATATCCACATGACTTGTTTTGGAGAGACTGCTTATGCATGAAGGAGAGGAAAAAGGAAATAACTGGCATAAAATTTTTAGTTCTAAAGGATTAACTTCAAGTGCGCTCAAAACGGTCTTTGACAATTAAACAAAGCAGCATTAGAACCGAAATTCTTAAACCAGAAGACACACTGGGATCGTTTTTTATTATTCACTGTTGAGACCATTTGCGGCTACGTTATGCAACGACAAAAGACCAGCGACTCACGCCTGTATAGGCTTTGAATTAGTTATTTTGCAGTCAGTACGACAAGTCATTTAATATTTATAGAGAAAGAGCACAAGTTGTAGCAACATTGAGGTGAAGTATTTACTCTTGGGAAATCAGTTCATTCGCAACAGTTCTGTACCTTAGGACGGGTAACAGTAGTGGATTTGCGGGATAACACTGGCATACGCTGAAGCGACTGTTAGACTGTAATTCCCTATTCTGACTGTGGCCTCTATTGCACTCCATGTATGTCATGTTGGGAATATTTCGATTTAGAACAACATGCGTGCACGGCAGGTGTGCAGAGTCGTGTAGCCGGTAGAAGGAAACAGGCGTGTACTAGTAAGCAGTTCAGACGATCAGGAAAATGCAATCCCTGACGGTAGCCTAAAAACCAAAATGTTAAGGAAAACGACAAACAAGACGCAAGTACTGCACTTCGACAGTAACCATCCGATCAGTCTCAAACGCAGTCGCGTAAGAGAGCTATACCGGCACGTTGACACGCACTGCAAGTAAATGGAAGACAAGGTTGCTGCATTACAATTTCTTCGACGGATACCCAAAGACAATGGCTACCCGCGCCATTTTGCCAACCACTGCGTACGCAAACCAATCCAGAAAGCAAACTCAATTTTTGCGAGCACTTCCGAACGTGAGAACTGTCTCAAAATTGTCAGCCGCCTTCCCTGTCCGTTTAGAGTTGGGGTTGCACACGGGCCGAAGGCAAACATCAGGCGCCTCTTCATGAGACCAAAAGATCCGCTTACACGATAGGAAGCGTCTGGAGTCGTTTGCTGTAACTGGTAGATTACTCTGAACTCGCATAGCTGAACACGCAGCAGTGGTGAGAAGGAAAGACGTCAGAGTTTAGGTAGCAGCTTATTCCACGGATTTTGGACATAATTTCAAGCTTTTAGAGGCCGGAATCCTTGCAAGCACTGATAACTGCGTCACCGCGATCTGCTCATATTCTACTTTACAGGCCCGCAATCCATCGACAAGTACAATGACCCCTCTGTAGCATATTCAGTGCTGACACATTCCCGGAGCAATGGAATCAGTTACGCGGGGCGAGTGCCGGCGAGCAACCATCCCGGTGACGGCGAGCCAACTTTTCGAGAAAAAATCACGTCAGCAATCAACACAGATGATGAACGAGCTGTAATTAGCGACTCGGACGCGGACTGGTGCGCCGTCATTGCTGTTAGACACAGTTTGCATGGAGCTCCGCGACGGCTACTTATTATTAATATTGCAGTGTTTATGTCTCCAATACCTATATCTGCAACCGTCTCTGACGATAAGATCGACTGAGAATCCGAAACGACAGACCAAAAAGATTTTTTGCTTCAGTGGTCGCACCTTCTTCTTATACTGAAATTTTTAGCTCGGTCAACGACTGCGTCCACCGAGATTTCTGACCGTCTAGCCATTTCAGTACGAAAGAGAGCGAAGGAGGATATGGTGAAACAGATCCGTAACTGCTAGGCCTTATACGTTGGACAGTGTTCGGCCTTGTTGTGCGCGGCGGTTGAACGACATTTTGATAGAACAGAATCATCTATCAAACCGCCTTCCACAGCGCGTAGTCAGGAGACGGAATTAAGAGTCGCTCCGTTTTAAAGGAGACCTTGCTCTTAATTCTAAGCCAAAACGTTCGAAAGTTAAGAGTGGGTTAGTGTTAACATTGGGGCTGAATTTGAAGTGATGTATAAGACTCAGGAATAAATACCCTTCACGGTATTTGGCGTAAAACCACCTGGAATACGGAGTTTCCTATCCCTGTTCCTTACCAAGTTCTTTTATCCAAAAGATACACTATATATTACACAGAAAACCATGAATTTGACCAGTAAACGCTAGTTCGTTTATCAAGATCCACCGGGCTTATTATGAAAGTAATAATTTATTCTTCTTACTTTCAACATGCAATAGGCGGGGACCTCTGGAAGTTGGGTAAAAGTATGTGCGGTCTGCGGTCGCAGTGTCTTTTTGTTTTCACAAGGCTATGATATTCAAAAACCCGTATGCACTGTCTAGTAAACAAGTATTAAGGCGAACAAGCCAAGTCAAGTGGCGACAATTGAGGTATAGCTCCAAATGGACAGGATTGCAAAGCGCCTTCGATAGGCCAAGGTGACACATTATCGACGCACATGAACCAGCACCGTTGGAATACAATTCTACAGACCAAAGAAAAGAGAATTCGCATTTACGATTGCCATAGTCATAACAGACAATTTCGGCATTAAAACTGGCCCCACTGCGAAAACTTCGGTGCCTCACGATCCCACCGAGTCACCGAGGTTTTCACAGTTGAGCCAGTATACATTATTCAAAATCTGACAAAACATCAATGAATTTTGACATTTCCGACGCAAAGATTGGGTTAGCCCGTGGGAACTTAATCGCCAACGTTCTTGAGGCATGCATTGCAACCCATTTCTCCAAAATAGACAAGATTATAAAGTTCCTTCTGGAGGCTAATGCACTGCATTAATGAAACACATGAACTAGCACCATACGGGAAAGTTTCTGAAGGCATAAGAAAACAGAATTCGCACCGAAAATAAATATTCAACAGAGGTGAGTGCATTTACGACGCTTCAGTGTCAACAGACACATTTCAGATTACCTGCACAAAGATTGGACTAGGATATAAGGACATAATCGTTGACATCCGCGCTCATAGACATGGTAATTTTTATCGGGAAATATAGCTAAAGTCGATCTTAAAATAACGGTTTATTATTAAAAAAAGACTCACGCTAATGCTCATCAATTTACTAATGTCTGAAACTGTTGCTTCTTGAGATTCTTACAAATTACTGCGAACTTGAAGATGATCAGAATACTTTAGTCTACCTGACCGAATGCTGACTGCGAAATATGAGTCAACATCACAGGGCAATGCAGCTTCTAGTTAAGGCGATTTTGGGTGAGAGGCAGTACATAGTTACTCCCATAAAATAACACGACGTAGTCCGTAATCTTTCTAATAAGTCTCCATGTTGAAATGCGTTCGACATATTTTACCGAGATCTATTTCCAACAGTCAGACGAACGTCACCATACAATCGACCTCATTGTCGTCCTGGTTTCATGTAGTATTGGCCTGTTAGGAACTGCTCACCGTCCAGAGGGTACATTGTGGAACGTTCTTGCATATCGCGTGACAAACGCATATCCAACACTTATATACAGTTAATGACCTAACTCATGAAAAAGGGTCGAAATTTACGAATGATTGCCAATCACGCGTAAACCGACAATATTTCATGAGTCAGATTTCTATGCTAATTAATTACAAGTATAAAAGAACTGAAAACATAAAATAAATATTTTAGGCAGTGGTGCGTTGTTTAGAAATACGATTTATTTTGAAAAACGCAATATCCTGAAAATGTCAGAAATGGGCCTAATTAAGTAAAATTCGTTTTTGATGTGTAGAATCTATTCTCATACCAAACACGTAGTAAATATGAAAACAGACATATAATCACGTCGAATAACAGTGATTTAGTGGTGTTTACATCTACATATCGTTTAATAAAGACAGATTCTGAATAACCTGTCTGTTAAGGCCCTTAAATTAAAATTGTTCTTGGAGGCATTTACGGAATAAGTGAGTGTTTAGGCGCTCCTTGTCTTGAAGATGGTCGTTTGGGTCACATTTGAAGACTCATTCAAACATTACACTTCGTTTTCGAAAAAA